AGAAACGCACACACACACACACACACACACACACACACACACACACACAGACACACACACACACACACACACACACACACTCACCCTCCGGTTCGTTGAGGTAGCTGAGAGATGTGAGGTCATTCTCTCCAATCAAGATGTCCGGGTTTCTCAGATGTGGCAGCGATTTCTCTGTCACCTTCACCACGCCCTCCTGGCCACATCAGCAACAGCAACAGCAACAGCAGCAGGAAAAACAGGCAACAGAAATGTCAGTATTAGTGCCAGTAAAACAGCCATCATCCCTAACAACAAGCTCTCACAAGTCCCCAACTGTGCAGTTACGCCCCTGTACTGAACACAGCAGTGCTGTGACATAGCGAGACGACGCTGGTAAAGTGGCGTATCTCCACATGACATAGTTCTCAACATGGCCGAGTGCGGTGTGTGTGAGTGTGTGTTCGTATGTCCGTCTACCTATCTAGAAATCTTTCTATTCTTTGTCTCTCTATATATTTATCAACATGTGTGTTTGTATTATGTCCGTCTTTCTATCCAGAGGTCGTTCTGTATTTTTTCTATCTATCTGTCTACCAGTGAGTTTATCTGTCTGTCTATATACCTAGCAGCCTCCGTATCTATCTGTCTGTGCGTGTTCGTATGTCCGTCGCTCTATCAAGTAGCCAGTCTGTCTCTCTGTCTATCTATTTGTCTACAAGCGCGTCCGTCTGTCTGTCCATCTCTGCCCCCCCCCCCCCCCCGGTAACCAGTGTTACAGAAAATGTCAGTATCTATCAATCTAATAATCTATAGGTTTTTACATATCAATCTAATAATCTAATGATCAATCGATCTATCACTCTCATAGACTATTGATTTGTTAATATATCTATCTGTTGATCAAATAATCTATCAATCTATCAGTCCAATAGACTATTGTTCTACCAATCTATTCATCTGTTAATCTACCAACTTACCCAGCCATCAGTCTGTCAATCTATCAACACATCTAACCATCTTTGAGAATGTGTATTTTATCTTCTATCTCGTAGCTGTCCATGAACTCTTTACCCTTTACTTAAAGAAATAGTACAATGAAATATTCATGTATCTATTTATCTATCTTTTCTATCTATCTATGTATCTATGTATGTATGTATGTATGTATGTATGTATGTATGTATGTATGTATGTATGTAT